TAATGATGGATTCTTTCCATTTATCAGGTAATGTCCCTTCCTCCTAAATTTTATTATACAATTCCAATAATATTTCTTTACTCACATCACTAAGATTATTTAACATACTATAAGTAACTTGGTCATTACCAGGAGTTGATTTACTAGAATTCCTCAGAGCTTTATTTAATTCTAACAAGGAAAATTTCATATTAATAAAATCATCATATTCTTCATCATCATGCAATAATCCAATATTTCGCTGTAGTTTCACGTCCTATTTTTTCTTTATTATTTAGATTCTCTGTACTATGTACTTTTGCAAATACTTTCGCTAATACCTCAGCTTTATTTTCATTATTTATTATAATATTTCCATTATCTTTATTACTGGGAAAAAATACCCTTTTGAATTCTCAGACATTTTTTAATAGTATTCCAAACCCTGTCTAATGCAGTGTTTTTCCCCAAAGATTCACAATATTTCCTCCAATAATCCCTTTTAGCCTTTCTTATAGTTTTCCTGACTTCTGCCTGCTTCCTTTTATAATTTATTAGATTTTGAAAACAAGTTATTTTCTTAAGTGTCTTAAAAGCTATATTTCTTTGTTTAATTACTATTGAGCATTCTGGTGTCCACCAAGGAACTATCTTCTTTTTTTAATACCACTTGTAATGGATAGTGAACCATTTAAATTAAGTTGCTTAAATTATTCAAATTTGTAGACTATTTATTGTAAATTATTTGAAGAATGTTGCAGATTGTTTAATAATATGTCTGTTTTGATTAGCACTGTTGGTGGTTTGTATTTTGTTTTGTTTAATTGTATTTGCACTTTGTAAAGTTTTTTTGTTGTTATGTACCTCACGGGCTGCCATAACTAATGAGGGCAGGCCCTATAAAAGCTGGCAAATCATTGTAGCAATGAATGACTTGAACAAACTGTCAGAGATGTGCTTGGCACTATCAACACTTAGTGTTCCCCGGTGAAAGCAGCGAGGTACACTTTATTTTATGTTGTAAGTTTCTGTTTATATTCTAATATTTGTATCTGTTTAGTTTTCATAGTGATTACGGTGACTGAGGTAATCAAGATGATTGAGATGACTGATGGTCCACATAAAGAAAAATAAACAAACCTTGAAAATCACCCATCCAGACCGCACAAATTAATTCAAGTGCTGGGGATCAGCTACACCACTACTTCTAGGAATAAATGTTTTGGCTGAATTAATAATACATTTGGTAATTTCTGAGTTTAATTCATTTATTGGTTTATTTATTTCTACATTTTACAAGTTAACCTCACTCATAATTTCAAATTTTCCCCAATCTGCTTTCTCAAACTTCCACTTCCCCTCAAATTCTGCCTGGTCTTGCTCTGTATTTAAGGAATGTACAGTGGGGAATGATCATTATCCAATTTTTGACAAAAATTGGATAATGATCATTCCCCACTGTACATTCCTTAAATACTTTCCATCTACACATATCAGCAAAAGATTGAGAAACCAAAGTCAGATCAATAGCAGATTCTTTACCCCTTACAAAGTCCACCCGAGTGCCTTCTCCATTATTTAGAATGACTAATTCTTTTTCTTCAATCACCTCTTCTAAAATCCCTCCATTATAATCATCTTGATCTCCCCATAAAGTGCTATGTGCATTGAAATCCCCACACCAAACTATTTTCCCTCTCCAGTTTCCTAGGATTGTTTCAAGTTTAAACTTTTCTAATTGTTTACAAGGATTGTACAAATTTATTATTTTAATATCCCCATCATTTGTACAAATTTCTACAGCAGTAAGTTCTAGGTCTGCTAATATTTGTAGCCGAATAAATTTTATGGTTTCCTTTAAGAATATAGCACAACCTCCTCCACTCCCGTTTGACCTACCTTTACGTAAAACTGAGTAACCATGAATATTAAACTGTAATGATGGCTTGAGCCACGTTTCTTGAATGCATATTATATCTGGTTTTGGGTGTAGGTTATTAATGAAGCCTTTAAATTCCTGACCATTTGCTATTAGAGTGAGCATTCCATTGTAATATTAGAATTATGTGATAGTTTGAGATGCCTCAGGTTCAGAGGATCCTTCACCTTGTCTTTCATCATGAATTTTTTTCCCCAAGATAAATCTTTGACACTAAAAAATTTCGTAGCTGCTTTCACAATCATTTTTATTTTTTCAGTTTTAGTTTTTGCTTGTTCTGAGCAATTTATGATATATGCAAAAAAAGGAATAAATTTTTCTAACGTGATATTACACTGATTAATGTCTGCCACTCTCTTCCTCTCAAAGCTTATTTTTGGTGCATTATCATTACTTTTCACCTGTTTCACTGCTTCAGCATAAGTAATTCTGTTTTCAGTTTTTACTTTTTGAACTTCAGCTGCCTCTTTCCTTACAGTGCATCCTGCATATGCTGCAGTATGATTTCCTCCAGTTACATTTAACAGGATTATTCCACACTCACCATAAGGATGTTCGCCTCCACATCTACCACACCTCTGTTTCCCTTTACAAACGTTTGCAGTATGTCCATATCTGTGGCATTTATAACAACTGAGCGGTGGTGGAATATATTGCCTTACATTAAAGCTCATGTAGCCAATCCATCACCTTATCAGGCAGAACTCTCTTTGAAATCCATTAGTACAGATGTACTGTCCATTTTCTCCCCATTTCTAAAAGCCTGTAGTTGTTTGATGCCTGTAATTTCTCCTCCTTTGATTATTTTCTTTAGCTCCTCCAAATTTTCTCCTACTGGAATTCCTGATATTACACCTTTTTCTTCCCCAACAACCTTTTCCCAGCACTTCCTTTTTACACACCATTTGTAATTTTAGAGCTTTATTCTTTTGTTCAGCATTTTTACAAATGATAAGCAGACTTCCATTTCTTAAGACTTTAGCTAGTTCTACATCCCCAACAGCTTTCTTTAATCCACTTGACAAACTAATGGGGCTCACTCCAAACATATCCTGTCCAGTCTTAAATTTTAATATAACTTTAAAATCTTCCATCATTACTTTCATCCTTATTTCAATTCTTTCTTCTTCATCCTCAAAAGACCTTTTTCCAGTATTTATTCCCTTTTTAGCCTTATCTATCCCCCCTACCCCTCTTCTATTTTCTACCATAGACCATCCTGTATCCATATTCTCATCCTCCGAAAGTCCCCCACTACTACTTGCCATCTTGATCCACTCACAACCCAGATTATGCCAAAAACCACCTTTGGATTAATTTAGTAGACGCCAGTAAACGTTTAAACCCAATCCGTGTCTTCTCGCCAGCCGACGTCAGGAAAAAATCAATCCGCTGCCGACTCCCAAATCTTACGTCTTCCTTCCTTGGTCTTCACGATGCTCTCTGCGCTTTAAAAACAACCCTGAGACCATCATGGAGCAGGTGCATTTATACAGGGACTTGATTACACACAGGTGGATTCTATTTATCATCATCAGTCACTTAGGACAACATTGGATCATTCAGAAATCTTCACTGAACTTCTGGAGTGAGATTGCTGCATTGAAAGTAAAGGAGCCGAATAATATTGCACGCCCCACTTTGCAGTTTTGTAACGTTTCCAATAAATTTTGCTCCACCTCACGATTGTGTCCCACTTGTTGATTCTTCACAAAATAATAAACATCATAAATCTTTATGTTTGAAGCCTGAAAAGCAGCAAAAGGTTTAAAAGTTCAAGGGGGCCGAATACTTTTGCAAGGCACTGTATATTTTAAGTTTTTTTTTTTCAGTGACAAAATAATATTTGTTCGTTCTGATTTTGTTCCATACAAATCTGTCTTTTACTAATTTGCAACCAATTAAACATCAATAGCAAAAGAACATATCTTTTTAGTTCGCTTCAATATTTCATTTTAGGAAATTAATGTTGAAATTGTACAGTATTTGTTGATTGTAACAAATAGATCATATATTTTATGTGGGTTTGCTAGATACAGAATGTTACTGCTTTCGGAAAAGCTATAGTTATAAGTTATATTTTTATCGACATATCATTCAAATGATTATCATTTTATTATGCTGTTGTTTAGAGTGGGGTGAACTTTCATGGAGGTTTGTTTTCTGTATCTCTGTGCTGGTCCTGTGATGGTATAGCAGCCTGGGCAAGTTGTCTTCTTCTGTCTGTTAATGGTAAATGACTGGACTTTTCCAGTTCTTGTGACCAAGCATTTACACTAGAGACACATTCACCCATTCACACAACAAAACACAGATTGGTAGGCAATTTGGGGTTAAGTGCCTTGCCCAGGGACATGTGGATGTGTGACAGGAGGAAGCTGGAATTAAACCTACAACCTTCTGTTTCAAGGTGATTGTACTACCCACTGGGTCACAGTCACAGTTTATCTATTAATCTTCTTCAGCTTATCTGGAGTCGGTTCGCAGGGTCATCTCATCATGTCAACCTGGGCTCATGGCATTCCTTCTCCCCATCACCAACCGCACATCATGACAAAATCATGCAAATGCCTGTTTGAACACTAGGACGTTCAGCTGGAATTTAAAGACAGACGTTGTCTGTCTTTAAATCAAGAATCACCCAAAGGTCAAAAAGTCATTTGAGTGGGGAAAGGGCACGTTTATTCTAAATAGTAGAATCATGTGCAGAAGTAATACATTCATAGAATAGAGATGCTTTCTGTCCATAAGGCGCATTCACCAAGCGAGTGGCTCAACTGAAGGATGACTGCATCTGGACCGGTACTGCACAGCTCTAAGTTTTGCTCAGAGCTTCAGGATGATCAGTCTGGATTAATCTAAACGATAATAAACCAACATTTCCCAGCAGATCAATATGGTCTCTGAACAATCTCTCCCTCTGAATCCTTCTACTGGCGATGTTCTCCATCAGATCCAAAACGCTCCACAATTATGCGGCTCACCTTTGCGCTGCTACTTATATATGTGTGATTGTCTACACACCTTGATCACCTTAAAATAATAAAACTTGTTTGGAGTTAATCTGTTGATCCAAACCTGCTTTCTTTTTTTAGTGAGAATGAAATTACCCCATAGATGCATTTCATGTGCTTCGGTGCACAGACTGACGCGTTACATCTTTATAAGAGAAAAACTGAGGAAAAGTACTATTTACATCTGAGTGAAGTTTTCACATCCTTTTATTTTTATTTTCTTTAGGGTTAGGGTCTTAAGGATTTAAATGCTTTTATAGAATGCTTTAGTCTAGTAGGTATATGGGGGAAGGACTTCCCCTCAAAAAGAATATACACATGGCATAATAAGCAATGATCATACAAAGCTCACATTGATTACTGGCTGTGTCATGATGGGTTTAAGTGACTTTACCCACATGCAAGAACGCCACCAAGAGAAGACGTAAATAATAAAGATATGTTGCAAACACAAAACAAATCAGATGAGTCTCTGGTCCAAGGAACAGACTGCTGCAGGCAGTGCACTGAGGAGAACAGGGGAGAAGGTGAGTTCAAGTCCGTGGGATTTCTGAATGATTTGCAGGAGTTCGGGTAAGCACTTACAAAAATGGTGATGAGTAACGGCGCTGGAGGGGTATTGTTGGTCCGGGGGTCCTTTGGTCTCTGGGGTTTACTTTCTGAGTGGTCTTGAGAGTGTTTCAAAAGAGAGTGGAGGAGGTGAACTGAGTTGGATGGAGAGGCGGTGTCGGAGGGGGGACAGGTAGGCAAGTCCTTGAAGGCGTGGGAGGAGTGTTGGAACTGCCAGTCAGATCTCTTGGATTGGAGGTGAGTTTCAACTGTCTTTGGAGGTTCTGAAGACTCGGGCATCAGCGGGGTAACGGCCTGCAACGTCACAAGGAAACAAAGAGTCAAAGCCAGATCTGGATTCAAGATTCACCTCAGGAAAACAGATGTCACAGGAAAGAATTACTTTCAATTCAGCAGAAGCAGGGTCAACAACGGATACTCGGCGATAACTCAGAGGGGCTAGAGGTACCATCACTGAACAACATTGAAGCACTGGCTTCCACCTCTCTTAAGCATCAAGGAGGTAATTGATCCCAGGTGTGAGGATGACGTACTGGAGGAGCCTCTGCCCGGCTGCCTCAAGGACTCCATCTAGTGGTGAATGGGAATGCACAGTAGCAACCCCAGAACCTAACAGGCTGGTATCTGACCATTTATCAGAAATATCCAATAGTAGTATCTTGCCAACTTCCCTTACAGATCACTGTGCCATAAACATCAAGTTAAACTTTCAATCAAGCAGTTAATAGAGGTTCACATTTTGGAAACTGAGCAACTCACTTTTAAAATAGAATT